TACCATTTAAGTAATTAATGTATTTTAAAAACGATAAGAGCACACGTATTAGACGATATAAGTGCAGAAAAACGGCAGCGCATCCCTCTAATTTATTTCCTAAACAAATTGCTTAATATAACTCTTCCGTATAAATTGCTACATGAAGTTACGCGTAGCAAATTAATGTTTAAATATTTCGATGCAATACAGTGCTTTCATTTTAATTTTACTGAATTTATTTCGTGATATTCCATTAAAATCGCAATTCGCTTCGTGCAATTAGTCCATTAGTGCCATTAAAGAAATTAAGAGTGAGCGATAGCTTCGTTATGAATGTCTCCGCAATTTCGTTAATTTTGTTACAACGAGTTTCGAAGCAGCCATGTGTGATAAATAAAAGATTCCTCTCATGCGTTAATAGTACGCACGTACGAATATCGTTTTTACCATCTAGTATTTTCCACGCATAAAATGCATGCAATGTACAGCATGTGCAACAGAAAAATCGGTACATACGAACCGCATACCAATTAAAATCAACCGTTTTTGTACTTAATTAAAAAGGCAGTGCGTGTATTCATTAAAAACTGAATTATATAAATATTTCTATGTATACCATATATAAAAATACTGCAGAGTTTTGATCAATGCACATTAATCCAGATATAAAAACGATGAAGATTGAATTAAATATAGAATATATCATAATCCACAGTTCAGAAAGTTCTTTGACTAAAAAAAATTAAATTAAAAAAATATTTCCATTGATCACACTTTATCCATATATCGCTATTTTTCCCTTCTAAGAATTTATTCTTTTTATTTAAGACAGAAATTTAAATTAATCTTTAATCTCCCTTTTCATTAATAAAAAATTTAGACATTAATTTTTCTTTGTTAAAAATATTAGCTATAGTAACAGAATGGAAATAATATAAAATGAAAGTAATACGCAGGATGATAGAAAAGTCTTATTTATATTATATAAAAAACATAAATACGTGCTCGGTTGATGAAAACTATGTCGAACAGGAAGAGCGAAGTAGAAGTCTATGTGTTTTTTTTTATATCATTACATTTATTGAAACAGTATTCACGTCGATGAATATTTTTACAATATAATATTCTATGTCGCTTTTTCGCTTTTAATCCTGACTTTTTGATTCATGCTTAAGTTCTCTCATAACATGATACATATTCGATTATGAATTTTATGTACAATGCAGTCTAGTCTCTTACCTAATATAATGTGCAACATTCCGTAAGTATGCAAATCGCGGATATTGATTATCTAGTTTACAAATAGATATACTCCTCTCGATATTTTTCTGTTTGATTTACGTTTTATTCACAGGAATTAATTTTTTTAAATCTTATAATTGAGCCACGGTTCGTGTTATAAAAAAAAAATTATGGTGGAATCTATATTGGAAACCACCAAAACGCGGAGCATCGCGAATATAAACTTTTTTTCCCTATTGAACTGAAATTGATTAAATACATTGATTTAACACATACCAGTAGCTCAATGAAAGTGATTTCTCAATCTAAAACAATTTTTTCACTTTGCACTTTGATCATGTTTTATATATTGCGCCAGTCTCTCTCTCTCTCTCTCTCTCTCTCTCTCTCTCTCTCTCTCTCATCTGAAATATATATGACCTGATTTATTTATATAAATTATAACGTAAAAAATTATATACAAATTGAAAGCATTGCGATATTTCCCCTCGATTCTGAGTGAAAATCTAGTAATGTTTCACGATCTTCGCGGGTAGATTCTAATTTGTATTTTCCGAGCTATAACGTTATAAAAAATCTATAGGTTCTAAGATAAATTGTATCTTAACATTTTAGTCATTATGATATATTTCTTTACTCATATCATATTATATTACGTAATAAATCTACTACCTAATGATTTACTGCTATATTCTATATTAGGTGCGTTGAATTATTTAATGATCATAACTACGATTTTGTTTTTTCTCTCGTATTTTTTTCTTTTTGAAAAAAGCGGTTGTCTCGGAAAAAATTAATCTAAAAAGTTATTTAAAAATACTGAACTATCTTAGCTAGATAATCAAAAGATTAAATCAGTTTAATCAAGTATATCGCGAGACGAATAATTTAAGCATTTATCTTTTGTAGAATCTGATGGAAATATCGAATCCGGTATTAAAATCAGAAGATTGCTTTAAAATTTAATAATAGACAAATAAATTTTAATAATAAAATTATGTCCATTATATACAGAGTTATTTGATTCACTTGTAAAATTAAGTAAGTCATCTATTATTTTCCAAAAAGATCTTATTTCCGGTTTTATTAAAAAATTTTATTAACTTCTTATTTAAAAAACTAAATATCTTATAAAATATATAAAATCTGAAAAAGATTTTATAATATTAGCTGCAGTCCACGAATATTTTGAAGCATTCGATTTGTTCAATCAGAGGAAATAGAAATATACGCTTCGAAATATTTATAATATTAAATGGACCGCAGCCAATAAATAATTAAATAATTCTTTAATAATAAATAATCGTAGTAATCAACAACAATTTATCAACATTTTATAGAGTTACGTGATTTATCGTAGCAAAAGGCGATTTTTAATTAGTTCTGCAAAGAAACCTTTATTTTATTTATAATTACATTTTGATCTTTTGAATTATACTTTCCGCACTATTATCATGATACATAACGCACGAGAACGCTTTTATTATTGACCTATTTAAATATATTTACGTATTATCTTTTCATATATTCACTTATCAATACACGGGCTTCATAATACATATTTTAATATAACATCCGTTATCCATAATCGTTGATGTCCACTTGATTATATTTTGATTAATCGGTGAATTAATTTTGACGCATTTTGATTTTTAAAAAATACTTTAATATTCTCATAGAAAATTTAAATAAATTGAAAATAAAGTGACATACAAGTTTTTTTGGAAGAGAAACATTACCTTTTTTGGACAAATTGTATTTTGATTATCAAATGATAGACACACAATATGTGTCAATGTGACAAGTCATTTAGCTTAAAAGATCCTGTTTATAATAAACAAACAGAAACATATCGAGGCCACCTATCTACTATCATTACTAAAGTAATTAGTTCTGGTTGCCTTTCCATTCTTTGATGGTATAACTTCGTATATTATAAATACTCTTTTCCTGATATTGAAAACAATTACATTTTGACATATAGAATATTTAAAAAATTCTTTTTTGAGAACAGTAAAAATTAATTTGTTTATAATATAATATCCATTCGGGTTTTCCAATTGCTCAATTACTTACATAAAATATTAAAATTAATTGTTTTGAAACGTGACGTTTTTTTCAACATTAATTTTATTTCCCTACAATATCAATCTTTTCTTGTATGTAAGTTAAAAATTCTTTTTTAAAAATTATATTCTTATATTTAAAATGTGCTTTTTAAAAGAAAGAAATAAGCTCTTAGAAGTTTGATAACAATAAATATCTGTTCGGAACATAAACTCAAGGAAATCTTTTACATTTATAATAGTACTTGCGATTAAATTTATATTTTACTTTAACATCACACAACGAACAGAAAGTTTCTTAATATAAATTTTCTTTTTAAACAATTCAATATATTAAAAGATTGCGGTTTGGTAAACAACAATTTTGATTTCGTAAACAGTATATTATCATAACGCAATATTAACATAGTAAATGTTGATATCATAAAATTTGGATTTTACCTACCATTCGATGCAAATCATTTTTGCAATAAAATAGATATTTCCACAATCTTTTGAGAAACAATCACCGCATTTTTCTCGCTTTAGCAATCAATCTCTTATTAATGTAATTTTATTAATAAACATTGTACATTTAAATAGAAACTGAATAAGTCAAATCTGGGCAAAGTTATTACTGTAGCATAATTCAAGAAATATACAAAAAATATCTGGCACGTTCGAGATGCTGAATTGTGCCCGAGGCACGAGGTTTAGTTAGAATTTGTGCAAATTTACGATTGTATGAATGTATGTATATCACACAATTGTATCATAACCAATGATATAAGCTATATACACAATACTGCCCAGATTGAAAGACGAGAAACAATTATCGGTCACGTGACAATTCTCGCACGTGCATTGTACTGTACAAGGTCACGGCAAATCCTACCTGCTCATTACTCGTTTTATGTACAAAAGCCTTAATTATCTGATAATTATTACTCAACTAGTTGATAATAATCGTTAGATTATAAATTCCGATTCATGTTATAATTATTTTATAGCCATCGAACGGATCCAGCCATCGAGACTCGATTCGAAAGCATTGGCAGTCATATAACAAATCAATTCGGTCTCTGCCAAATATACGGCGTTGTTCTATCGGTCAACGTAGAGTACTACGAGGCCATTATTAAATTAGTTAAAATACAAATTCTAATAGAGTTCTCGCAACAAAATGACGAGATGAGCAGTTTCATTGTTAGACAGTTCACGCATATTCGTTGAGGCACGGACACCATGCCTATTTTTAGTTATACAAAAAGCACAAGTGCAAGAAAGTTCTTTTGGTGAACGCTCAATCATACTTCTAGGGATGTTGAGAATGATTCGGCATTTTTTTTGCCACGATGCGTTTAACACGATTTTATACAAAAGAATGGAGAGTCTGTGAAAGATTTTCGTGTTAAAAACGTACGTGCTAAAGATCGTCCGCCATGTCACTGCGTCCTTCACAGAGCTTTGGTCCACTGCACTTCGGTCCGCACTGTGTGATTCTCTTGTCGTCGCTTCCGAGCACTCGGTGAACGGATACACGCAGCATGTGACAGCGAAGCGTAAATTAAAGCGATCTATCGCGGTCGGCCGAACGATTTTTCCGAGCGTGTACCGTTCCGCGACCGCTGATCGTTGCGTTCACTTTGGACGTTGTCTCCCCCGACTTTTGACACGGTTCACTTTCTTTTTTTTTTTGTTTTTAAGATGCGCGATTCACGACGCGGCTGCTCACCTTAACAGATTCGCAATTATGAGGGTGATACTGGCGAGTAGAATGGTCGGAGCCATGCCGCAACTACCACCATGCTGCATGGCCGCTGGATGTTCACCTGCAACAGAAATGTGCAAATTGATTTAGTTCCTTCGTTCTCGATCTCATTTTGACAATAGAGAGAGAAAGAGAGAGGATGCTTAAGGAAAGGTATGCTGAGATCGGATATTTTTAGGACAGATCTCGTGTATGTAATTTCTTTAAATACACAACTTTCTAAGTATTTTTTTTTTATAAAATAACGATAAAGTAGAATCACTTAATAATTGATGTAAAAATCTAAGTTAAAGTGATGAAAATAAATTCGGGTTACGAATGATCCATCATGTGTAGAATCATGTCTATATATATTAAGAGTTAATATACATTATATTTAATAAGTAAATATATGTATAGTATATTTAAAATGTAAATATTAAGCATAATTAAATATCTTAGAAGAAAAATCTAAAATAAGAGACAAATCTAAATACAGTTTTTTATTTATTACTGTATTTAAAAAAATTATTTCATTATTTTAATTTTATTATAACATATATTATATATACATATATTTTTTTCTATATTCTATGGAATATAAATATCGATGTTTGATAAAATATTAAATTCTTTTAAAAATAAACTAACAATAAGAATACTTTTTAATCAAAATAAGTGCATAACATCATCCTTTTTTATTTATAAGTGTCAAAATAGTAAGGTAAAACAATTTGAAAAAAATATAGAATTAAATATTTATGTTGTATATTTAATCTTAAATATTATTACGTAATTTTTAATATTCATCTTTTTGCGATTAATAAATAATGTTAGCATTATACAATTTAATAGTTGTTAGAAGTAATAAATAGAAAATTATTCGCGGAAGTTGAAGCAAATTCTATTGCTCCTATAGTTATCCATAAACCACGTCAGTTTCTTCGCATTGAATATTATCTCGAGTAGCTACATAACGCAGAAATTTAATTGTGCAGCCCTAATTAGATTCACAATCTAGGTTAATCGTTCGTAACGCATTAAACGCTAAGCAGGAACTTTCCAGCCTAACGACAATCTCTCTCTCTCTCTCTCTCTCTCTCTCTCTCTCTCTCTCTCTCTCTCTCTCTCTCTACTCTCTCTCTCTCTCTCTCTCTCTCTCTCTCCCCCTCTCTCTTTCTCTGATAATTGGATCCTATATAGAGCAAATAATTGAGAAAATAAAATGCTTTGTATTAAACACCTGTATTTTCATTTAAAACTAAAAAAATTAATATACATTAATATATAATAATAATAACACAAATCATATAAAAGTGAAGACCCATACTTTCAATTTAAGAAATACATATTTTTAACTTTCAAAATCAAACATATATAAAATTCTACGAAGAAAATCACATATTATAACATAATACAATACATAATATTATACAATAAGAAAAAATGTATCAATGTAATCCAAGTTAAGATATATTCAAGAGCAAAATAAAAAAATATATAAGATGAAAATATTCAAGGACTCTTAATATAACAATATTCAACATAAATTAAAAGGGCGAAGTAAGAGTCAGAAGTAAATTACATTAAAAAAATATATATTCTATGTAATAATACGCATGTACAATATAATGTGCATACTAGTAACATTTACAATACAATGATGATAATTTATGACCACATTACATATATTAATTTTTTAATGATTAATTCTCTTTGTAAAATCTCTCAATATTATAATATCATATTAATGAAAAGTTCAAGCCTTATTCAAAAAAGGATACGCAAAAATTTAAACATTTTTATCTATCATAATAATAATATATTACCATGAAAAGTAACTGATATATTATTAATAAACTTGCCAGTACAAAGTGAACATACATAAAGTATATGCAACTTTCGGCCGATTTTCGAATCGCCTCCGCCTTCCGTTGTCACCCTCATCACACCACCCCGCGCGCAGATCAAATAATGTCGCTCGAGCATCGTGCGACCTGTTCAGTCTTATGATTATTGCGAAGAATATTACTAATTGTTTTTGTGTACTTAATATTAATAATTGTTTTAGTTTAGAAGATAAAATCGTTTGACGAGTGATTTAGTCTCTCTGATCATCTTCTCACCTTTGTGATATTTTAATTTCTTCTTCTCTTGATCAGTTTAATTTTTTAAACAAAACCGTCATTGCAATATTTTTGGAATTTCTGCGTCATAATTGTATGTATCTGAGGAGGACCAAAATACAAGACCGAAACATGAAGTCTTCGTGTGTTAATCTGATAATGTTGTAGCGTTGTTCGCGTCTATATTAATATACGTATTATTCTGAAGTAATAATATACGTAATTTTTTGTATTTGAGATGTGACTCTCATTTTAGCCTTTTTTCTCCTTCTTAATACATTTTATATACCGAGAATCTTTAATTTTTAATTATTTGAATATTTCTAAGGCATGGATAGTCTAAGTCTAAAGGCTACGGACGCTCGCACGGAATGCCACGCTGAGAAAAAAATGCTATTGACACAAATAAAATTTATATCGGTCTGTCACTATCGTAAAAAATTAAACAATGCAAATAAAGAAAGTCAAAGAGCCAATAAATTATCAGATAAATTCAATTTAATATAAACATACGTTTTGACTCCGATCGGGTCTTTCTCATTGTTACAATAAAAATAATACAAAATTCGTTATAAAATTTCAGATATCAACAAGATTGGAATAAATTATTCCAATCACTACATAACGATAAGACATTGCTTTCAATACTAGCGATTCTATAAAATTTAATATAAAATACTGAAACTATTTTTATATATTTCATATAAAGAAAAATTAATACTAATTAAATTAATTTAAAATGAGTATAAAGCATTTTTCACAGAGTAACACATCATATAAAACTTAAGTGTACGAGTGATTTTTAAAAATAGTGTAAACAATATCAAAGACTAGACACTTGGGTAAAATGTCATGTCAGTTTTCGAAAGAATCACTCTCATATGTATTTATATGTACACAAGTGTAGACCTTGATACAGTAGTTCCTAAGATTTTGACGTGCTTGGACGTCGGACATCAAAAAATTTCAAATTCAACCGTACTCCTACATTTTGAGTGCTACGCCTAAGCCGTTAGTAATTACATATAAGTTATTACGTAAATCAGTAAAGGTCGTATTCATAGTATTCAGACAGACTATGTACTTAAGGCATCTATAAATTTATCCTTAGATGCTCAGTAACCACTAATATAATACGTAGAGCATACAAAGGTAAAGTTAAGAAACCCTTAAATATTATGCCCAACTATGAAAATGGTTATACATGTCTAACTGCTATATAACGTCAGGCGTTATTTTAATTTTAAATATCTCGTACATTTTTTTATAATACATATTTAATCTTCCTTTGACACACTTGCCTGATACTTTCTTATCACATTCAGTGACAGATGTTAGCAGGGCTGGGCACATTTCAAATACAAGGGTAAAAAGAACTTTGTATTTTCATTTCTATTACAATTACCGTATATTGAATTTAAAATATGAGACTGTCGTATGTACAAATTTAAGTTATTATCATTTTTGTTCAGAAGTTTGCTCTTTTTGACTGAACTTTTGCACTAGTTCATCTTTTTTCCTTTCTTTTCACATAGAGAGAAAAGGATGAAACATTTAACTGCTGCAAAATATATTTGAGCAATTAAAACAGACCTAAAAATTATTAGAAATTAATAAAGGATTTTTTTCAGTATATTATTATAAATATTAGGATTACAAATTAGTTCGATAAGTTTTTTATACCTATTCAAGAATGCATTTATTTCAAAACAAAATGAACGAACAGATTAATTATAAAATATTGTTTATCGCTGGCTAATACTTTTTCCCATCTCTCAGGAAATTTTTGAATTCCGTCTCGAAAAAATGACTCGCCTTTGGAGGCAATCATCTTTTGGAAAACGAACCGAACTAATTTATACTCCCAATAAATCTCTCTATCAAATTTAAATTTAAATAAATTCTCTTACTGCACATTAATTCAAAATCAGTATTCCAAATAAATCTTTTGGAAGTATTTTGTGTCTACATCTTAAAAAAAAAGTATTTAGTATTTGAAATACAAAATTTGGAAATATTGTTGTATTTTGTACTTAAAATCGATAAAATTAAGAGTACTTTGTAATTCAATACACAGATTGTTAGTATTCCGTACTTTATATTTCAATTATTATTTTGATGTATTTTGCCCGGTTCTGACTGTTAGCATAATAAAATTTTATTGCATTAATAAAAGAATTATTTCAATCTATGATTTAAGGTGGATAAATGTCAACATAAACTTGTACAAATATATTTAGAACGTGTTAAGAACGAAGGTAGTACAAGGAATATTACAATAAAGTGAAACGAAAATTAACTATGAAAAAATTGCTTCTCAAAAGAGTGAATCAACAGGAGGAAAAAAATAACGACTCAAAAGATGTGTCCCAACAGCATGGTAAGACTTATAAAGTTCAGGACGTACACTTTCAGCTTTGGTGAACTTTTGCATTGCATTTAAACAATTATCAGCTTTACGATACCGTTTTCATATTTATTTTATATCAATCGCCCTATCTTAATATTAAGATGTGCCCTCCGGATCCGGGACAAGTTTGAATCGGCATAATATAGACGTACATACTGAAATAAGACCACACAAATGCGGAACATGTGGTAAAGGGTTTAAATATAAATCGCTCCTGGTTATACATCAGAATAGTCATACAAAACCTTACAGTTGTGAGTTTTGTAGACGAATGTTTAGGTGAGTAAAAATTAATTGAAGAACAAGGGGGGGGGGGTTTAGGAAAATTATTATTCTTTCAAATCAATGTAAATGATTAAATTAACAGGTAAAAATAATAAATATAGAAAATAATTCAAATGCAATCAATGATTATGTTAACTGGTACAAAATAATAAATATTGCAACGGTCACATTGCAGTAGAGAAGACATCCTAGAATACCACATAATAGCAATACATTACAAAGAGGAACGTTACAAGTCTAATAAGAACCTATATATTAGAG